GCAGCGTCAGGGTCTGGTGCTTGGAGGGGGGGGTTTCAAACCCAGATTCGCGGGGGACCGGGCCCCGCCACTCGGAAATCCCGGGGACCCGGGCCGCAGCTCCCAGCTGCCCGGCGGAGTCCGGACCGGGAGGAGCACCCAGCCGGGGACAGGCAGGGGACGGGCCAGGTAGCCGCGGAGGGCCCCGCTTCCCAGACCCCAAACACGCGCGCACACGCGCGCCGCTGCAGACGAGCCGTTCCACACCTGCGCGCACACACCTGCCCCCAGAGCCCGCGCGTGGACACGGGCGAGGCTTCTGCCTGGCGACCGAGGAAGCCAGCTCGCCAGAAACGCCCTTAACCCGCCTCCGGGAACGCGAGGCAGCTCATGGCAGCCACAGACGCTCCGCGGGGTTGGGGAGGGCCGGGGGGCGCTGGGACCACAGGGTTAGTCCCCGCGGCTGCGTGGGGCTCCCTGATCCAGGCTGCAGCGCTGCGGACTGCCCTGTGCTCCCCGCCCCTTCCCCCACTCCGCCCCAATCTCGGGGCTCCCCCTCCCCAAAACACCCCTGTTTGCACTTCTTCATTACCTGGATCTGGGCGCTGGAGGGCGCCGCTCCGGGCCGTGCGCCCTGCGGGTGTCACAGGCAGTGCTGGGTGGCGCGTTTTCACTTGTGTTTGTCCGGTAGGAAGGAAGGAACTGGAGAGGCAGCCCCCCTCCCCCCAGATGCCCAAGGGTCCCATTCTCAGTCCCCACCTTCGGCAGGGGCGGTGGTCCCTGGGGAAGGACGCTCCGCCCTCCGGGCCATCAAACTCGCCTTCACTAGAAGTTGAGAGGGTGCGGGGGACAGCGGACTCCACCGGTGGCTCCTGGCTCGCTGTACCAGGCAGGACTCTGCTCGGCCTTTCGGCTGGAGTGTCTGGGATTTAAGGGCGGGCCCTGCGGCTGGTTCTGACCAGCAGACAGCGCCAGGCATGACGCAGGGGTCCAGAGCCACGTTCTCTAGGTCCGAAGTCCTGTCTGCGTGACCCGCTGTGACCACCGGCCGGGTGAAGTGACCTGCAGTCCTGGGTTAGATAAGCGTTTAGAGTCGAAGATGCTAACCGCGCCGGGAGAAAACGTGCCGTGGTCCCCATGTGATGAGCAGGAGGCGCCTGGTGTCTGACTTGAAGCCGCTGAGTTTCCGGGCATCTCAGACACGTGTGGCCTCCTGTGACAGCACGCGTCCATGCCACCCCGGCGGATGCGAGGGCGTGGCGTGCCTGCACCCCGGCCGGTCCCTGGCCTTCTCAGTGGACGTTGCACAGCATTTAGGGTGAAAAAAATCCAAATTTTGAACTGGTTTCTTTGCTGTCTGCCTCATCTTTGAAACTGTCTTTGTCCTTCGAATGGGCCCTGCAGACTGTACTCTGGTGTCCAGAGCCGCCTTTCAAAGCTGTGGTTCGTGCCGAGAGGGTTCTCGTTTGCACCTGAACTGCCTCCTGGTGCTGAGCAGCCGGGGATGGGTTGAGACACTTGAGCTCCGTGGTGCAGGCTGGGCGGCCCCCTGGAGGAGGCGCCCCCTCTGACACGCTGTGAGCCTCTAAGCTCATACAGTGCAACGACTCAGTAACACCGAGCTCAACTGCCTCCTGAGGTCCAGGAGCCCCGGGCGACGCTGGCCAAGACCTCAGACTTCATCCTTGTCCTCCTGGTGTGGAGAAGGCGTAAGGCAGCTGAGGGTTGAGCCGCGCTTCCCAATGACGGCGACATCGCTGATTGTTTTTTTACCAAAAAAAGCTAATTGCAGTGATGGCGTCTGAGAGCCGACTCTCGTGACAGAGCGCTCGTGGAGATCACGTACAGCTGCTTAGAACTGAGGGAAACAGAGCATTTTCGCCTTATTCACATCCCAGTGGGTCCCCTGAGGTGACAGCTGGTTTTCATCAGAGCGAGGTCTTCCCGTGGGGCCGGCCTTGTGTCTCCAGCGCTGCGAGGCTTCTGTTCTGTTCTCTGGTGTGGGATGGGGACTGCAGGTGCCTGTGCAGGCTGCTCACGGGGACATCTGTGCCCACCGCCCGCCTGGCCTGGAGCCAGGGGTCCCTGTGACTCCTGCGAGAGAGCAGGCCAGAGCTTCTCTCTCCTCTGTCCCCCTCCCGCCCGCCCTGGCTTCTCGGGGAGAGGCTTACACAATGTCGGGAAAACCCCATCACCAGCAGAGGCAGAATCAGGCTCATTTCGAAACCTGTCACTCCAGTAGCTTCAAGTGGTTTTCAGAAGCCAGGGCTGTGCGTGCACAGGGCTGACGGAGCCGGTCACTGTGCTCAGTCTGTGTCCCTGTGACCACTGGGCAGCGACAGAGCTTGGGGAGCGTGATCTGGCTGTGCTGGTGAGCCGTCCTTGGCTGGGGGGAAGGAGAGGGGCGAGGGCAAGGGGAGACAGAGCCAGCAGACAGACGCGGAGGGAGAGCAGAGCGGTCCTGTCCTCAGAATGTCCTGTGCGGAGTGGCCGAGGTCACCCACCCCTCTGCGCACCTTCCAGGTCCTGTGGGTGGCCGACGGCTGGCTCCCGGCCACCCACGTCCTGCAGAGCCCGATTCAACCTCCTCATCTCGTCTCCCCCAAAATGATAAAATTATTTCTGACGATATTCCTGACGAGAGAAAATATTTCACGGTGACATTGAAAACTCTATAGTGTTATTTGTAAAAGTTCAGCATTACGAGTAATGAGACGTAGCAGATCGCTTGATGAATCTGTGTCCCAGATGCGATAAGTTCCCATCGACGGTGACTGTTCGGTGTGAACAGATCCGTGGCTGCTCGTAGATTCTCGTGATGATTTATTTTACCCTCCTAGCCAACGGGTATTCACGAAACAGAATTACACGTGAGCGTCTAAGCCGGGGAACGGCTTTCGTGAACGGAGTCTGCAAGACGCAGGGCGTATACTCATCACCGAAATCTGACCCAGGTCTAGACTGACGCTGCCCTCTGCTAAGGCGCAGGCGTAGACAATATGCCCCAAAATGATCATATACGGTCACAAAATGTTATATATGTAACATATACATATTATATATATATATATAACATGTTATATATGTAAATGTTATATATGTAACATATACAAAATGTTATATATGTAACATATACATACACGTATATGATTCCCAAGACGTAAACTAAGTAGACGTAATGAACTTTAAAAAGTTTTTCCTCATCGTTCAGTTCACATTCCTTATAGACCATTCAGAAAGTTCCAGAAAGTAACTCAAGCTCGTGTCGCAGAGCACAGCTGCCCTGAGCTGGCTAACGTTCAGCACCTGTCTGGAAAGCTGAACACGAGTGTGCTCGTACCCAGCCCTTTTTAAAAATGCCGTCAGGGCGCACACGCTGGCGAGGGACAGGGCACGGAGCTGGCTTGCGGGGCCAGCGGGCATGCCCGCCTGCGAGAGATGCTTAATGGCAGAAGGGGACCTGCTCTTCAATCTCAACAGCCTCACTCGCTCAGGCAACTCGCTTGTCACTTTGAGGCCTCTCCGTTCGAGAGCTCCTGTCAGGGCCTGTCACCCAGAAGAGGCACCGTCCCGCTCAGCCTGCACCCACAAGCTCAGAGACGCTCAAGCGCTCATTCGAACCCCTCGATTAAGGGGCTCAGAATCAGCTCGTGTTGCACATGGCCCGACGGTGTCCACCGACCAATAGCTCTGTTCCCCGTCACCCCGCCCGAGTGCCGGCCAAGCGGGCCAGCGCACAGCGTCCCCACCAAAGACCGCGTTCTCCACGAGAAGCACGAACGTCACACTCAGCTCTCTGCGGCGCGTGTGTCCTGCAGATGCTCCCCGGAGCCAGCACCTGACCAGTGCCTGGACGGCGGCTCTGTCCCCGTCAGAGGTGCTCGGGCCGGTTTACTCGTCACAGTGTCTGTAGCTGGCCGCGGACGTGCGATCATTTTGCGACATTTATGAAAACGTTATGGCCGCTGGTCATTGCTCCTAACGAATCTTTCCGATGCGTCCGCCTCTCTGTTTTGGGTTTGAGAGTTGGCCCGTCGGCGGGGATGAGGGTCTTGGTTGGGTCTCTTTGCCAGGTTTCAGGGACGCGGGGGTGGGCCACGGTGCGGACGCCTTCTGGGGCTGTCACGGCAACGTTCTGTCTCTCTGTGCCGTTGTCACAGGTCGGGAAGCGTGGAGGACGACGAACACGACGACGCGCCATCGAACCAAAAGTGGGTCCTGGCTCCGAAATCGCAAGACACCGACGTGACTGTCATCCTCAACAAGCTGCTGAGAGAATATGACAAAAAGCTGAGGCCGGACATTGGCAGTGAGTGTCGGCGCCCGCCCTTCCCACGGAAAATGGGCCGCGATGGTGTCCGGGTGTTTTTTTGAGTTTTTATTTTTAAACGATGATAAGCTCACAGGGCGTCGCAAAGATCGTGCGGGGTCACACGACCCGCGACGGCGGCATCGTACAGAAAGCGGGATGTGGCGCCCGCACGTCCCGTGCAGCCTTGGGCGAGGACGGCCACCCCACCCGTTCATGGCCACGCACGCAGCGCTCTGCTGCCAGCCGCCAGCCGCTCATTCGCCCCCCGTGTCCGTGCGTCTGTCATTCTGAGAATGTCACGTGCGTGCGGTCCCTCAGCCTGCGACCTTTCGAGACCGGCAGGACCGTGAGGGGAGCCGTCCAGGTCGGCATGGCCTCGGCTGTCACCCTTCCTTACTGCGGAGCCTGTAGTCACACCCCGGGGAGGTGCACCTGGGCCGTCACAGACGGGACGACTGCGGGCATCGGTACCCCGGTTTTTACGCGGACACTCGGTTTCATTTTCTGGGATAAAGTGCTCGGTGACGGGTTTTGCGTTTTTTTAAGAAACTCTTAAA